GGCATGCGGGACCTGCCAGCTCAGGAGCCGGGGCACAGCCCGACTGCCAGCAGCGCCCAGGTCACCCCTGCAGCCACCAGCGGGGGCCGGAGGAAGGAGAAGACTGAAGAGAAGGAGAGCAGCATCTCCAAGGTAGAGGCTCTGGGCTGTCCCCTGGCTGCTCCCCTGCCCAAGCCCCCTCCTACGGGCTGAGTTCAGCCCGAGTTCCTGCTGGGACCTGGGGCTTCCTGTGGGAAAGGGATGGAGTTTTGGGGAGGCAGAGCTGGGGCTGAAATGCTGCTCTGCTTGCTCTGGGTCTCCCCACCTTGCAAGTGCTGGTGGCTCCAATCCAGCCCCTGGTGCCCTGAGCTTTGCAGGCCTGGGGCTCAGCACCCCTGGAGCTCTGGCCCCACCACCCTTCAGCCAGCCTCTCCATTGGCACTTGCCCCCTCTCCCAGGACAATCCCGTGTCCCAGGATCTCCTCCAGGACATTGACAGGCTGAAGGCAGAGCAGGCCCGCATGGCAGAGAAGATGCAGGTGATCGTGGAGGCACTTGGCTTGGTGAGCTGCTCTCAGTGCTCTCAGGAGGAAGCCTGGCCCAGCCCGTGGCCATGGCTGGCACCCAGCATGGAGGAAGGAAGTCCCAAGGGAAGCTCAGCCCATCCCACCAGCAACCCCCAACCCTCTGCTGCCTGCAGGGCAGGCTGGTGGGAGAGGGGAGTGCCTGCCTCAAGCCCAGGGAGGCAAAGGCACTTCTGAACTCTAGAGCCTGTGCTTTCTGAGCAGTTTCTGCTCTGGAAAGGACTGTCTTTAGGGGGTGGGGGAAAAGAGCAGGTGCTGGCACCTCCCTGAGTGCTGCATTGACAGCCCCCAACAGTACCCTGTGAGGTGGTGGTTTGGGGACAGGGCCTGGGGACACAGCAGGGGGCCCTGGGCTCTGTCCTTCCCTCTGCACAGCTGCCTGTAACCCTGATTCCCTTTGCCTTCTCTTCCCAGCAGGACAGTGGGGGCCAGTTTTCCCCCACTGAGCCCACAGTGTTGGACATGGACACCCAGTGTGGGGACACCCTGGGGACCACCATCCCAGGGATGCAGACAGTGTCCCCTGGCACTCAGGCCACCACTCCCAGGATGCAGCCAAGGACCCCCAGCACCCTGACTGCTACCCTAGCAGTACAGCCAGTATTCCCAGGCACCCAGGCAAACACCACAGGGACACAGTTAGGGTCACCCAGCATGGAGGCTGTCGTGCCAGTGACACAACCAAAGTCCCCCAGCCTCAAGACCACCAGTCTAGGAATGCAGCCAGGGAGCCCTGACACTCAGAGCACCACCCCAGGGACACAGCCAGGGTACCCTGGCACCCAGACCCCCACTTCAGGAATGCAGCAAGGATCCCCTAGCACCCAGGCCACCATCCCAGAGGTGCAGTCAGAGACCCCCAGCACCCAGGCCACCATCCCAGAGATGCAATCTGGGACCTCCAGCACCCAGACCACAGTTCCAGGGATGCAACCAATACCTCCAAGGACACAAAGAGACAGAGCAGGGTTTCAGCTAACCCCCCCACACATGAAGCCCAGCCTTCCTGGCACTGAGAATATCCCCACTGAGGCCACCCCTGGTGCTCTGGAGACACAGGTGGTTCTTGACCAGGTCAGACAGCTTGGCCACCTCTACACTGTCCTGAAGGAGGAGGTGGCCCAGTTGGAAGCCACCAAGGCAGATCAGGCTGAGCTTGAAAATCTGTGCCTGCGCTTCTCAGAGGGAGGTGAGAACCCTGGGGAGACTTGGGGGGGCAGAGGGAGGGGGGTGTTTTGCATGGGGACACCTGGGGTCACAGGCTAGTCATGCTCAGAGCCTGGACTTGAGACTCCCTGGACAAGACCCCCCTCACTGACCATGTGTTCCTGTGAACCCCATCTCTAGATCAGGAGAGCATCTCCAATGTCCTGTCCAACCTCCGGGGCCAGGTGTCCTCCCTGCAGGGCCAGGTGTCCTCCCTGCAGGGCCTGGCCAGCGACCTGCAGGGCCAGAAGGAGAAGGTGAGCCAGCAGAGGTTCCCAGGGGACCTGGGGGAAATGCTGAGGGGGTTTGGGTGAGGAAGGGGCAACTGAGGGGCCTCTTTCTGGATGAGCTGGGTGGCTGCACCCTGATTCTGCTGCTGCTGTTCCCAGATCAAACAGCTGGAGGAGGTCCTTGGAGAGCTGGGAGCAGCTGGATCTGAGTGGAGCGTGGATATCAGTGACCAGATCACCCAGCAACTGGGGTAAAAGGCTGGGAGGGGTTTTCCTACCCCATGGGGATGCCAAGGAGTCTAGGGAGGCTGAGAGCACCCTGCCTGGGGGTAAGAGACTCCCCCTGAGAAGCTCCACAGAGCCTAAGCCTGCCCACATCTCCCTCTTGCTGGCCAGGTCCAAGCTGCAGGAGATCAAGCAGGAGCTGGGAGAGCAGCAGGTCATGACCAAGGCTGCTCTGGAGCAGTTGGTCACCAAGACAGCCGAGCAGCTCCAGCAGCAGGTGAGGCAGGGGGGGCTCCCATTGCCCCCTGGCTCAGCAGGGTGGCCCTGGCTGGGGTCCTGTCCCCATCCCCTGGCTGGATGGCACCACTGAGCCTCCAGAGCCACCCGGGCTTGTTGGCCACATCCATCCCAACTGAGAGACAATTTCTTCTCCCTGCAGCTGGACAAGCTGCCAGTGATGGTGGAGAGCAGAGGGCAGGGGCAGGCAGAGGGGCAGGCAGTGTGCCCAGTGTGCAGCACAGACACAGGCACACAGCTGGGGCATCTCCAGTGCTACAAGAGGCTCCAGGAGCTGATGGACTCCTTGATGTCACAGCAGGCAGTGAGCAAGGTGTCAAAGGTGTCAAGGCAGCTGCCAGGGAGGAGCCAGGTAGGAAGATGCTGGGGGGGGGGGGCTTGGGAGAGAACTGCCAGGACCCCCCCTCCCAGCTGCTTGTGCTTTGCTGTGGCGTGAGGGAGCCCCAGGCTGCCCCCCAGCTTGGCTTGTAAAAGCCAGCAGCATGGAGGGGAATGAAAGCCTTGGTGCCCATGTCCTGCTGCCACTGACAGCCTGTGGCCACTGGCCAAGTAACCTGGGTCTGTCCCCGTGGGGCAGCCAGACCCCCTTGCATAGGGCCACCATTGTCACCTTCCTCCCTGAAGCAGGACGAGGAGCAGCTGAAGAACATCCAGGTCAGCATCGTGCAGCTGCAGAGGGATGGCAAGGAGCTCAGCTCGGCCACCAGGAGCCTCATGGATGATCTGCAGCAGCAGGAGAAAGACATCAAGGTTGGTGGCTGAAAGGCCCCACGGGGTCAGAGCATCCTGCAGGCAGAGCCCAGGTGGGCACCACAAGGGACTGGTCCCCCTGCCAACCTGCTGGCAGCCCTGGGGAGGGTCCAGATGCCTGTCCTGGGGGGTCTGGCCAGGGGTGGGTGCTGGGCTGGCTGGAAGGCAGCTCTGACCCTACGGGGGCATCGTGGTCTGCTCTCTGCCTTGGAAGGCTCTGTCCCAGCCTGTGGAGAGGCTGCAGGAGGAGAAAGCAGACAAGGAGGACCTGGTGCTGGCAATGGATAAGGTGGGATCTGGAGGTGCCCCAGTGCCAGCTAAGGGAATCCTGGGCAGGGTGACAAATGCACCTTGTCCCTTGGGTGCTCAGGGGCAGAATGGGCCTGGGGGAGAGAGGGTTTCCAGCCCAGCTGTGGGTTCCTCTGCCCCAGCCCAAGCTGGCCCTTCCCCTCCTGCCTCCATCCCTGCCCCTCCTGCCTCCATCCCTTCCCCAGTGCTCTCCCACCTTTCCCCGTTGCTAGAAGGCCGACAGAGCTGCCCTGGGGGGCACAGTGACCCACAGCCTGTTGGAGGCCACGGCGGAGGGGCTGCGGGAGAGGATCCGGGAGGTGCAGAGCCAGAGCAGGGGCAGGGAGCAGGGCTGGCTCCAGGCCCAGCAGCAGCTCCGGGAGCTGATGGACTGCAAGGTGAGGGCTGGTTCGTCCCCACCCTGCACACCCTGGGGGCAGCCAGAG